ATCGTGCGATTATTTAGTCAAAGTTGTGTACGTTCGATTGTTTGCAGACAATTCAACTGTTTAGTTGCACAGCTAAAAATCGAGTAGTGTGCACCTCCGAATAAGATTATTGGTATCAGAGCGAGACAAAACAGTTATGCGATAGTCGATTGTTTTATAGCCAATGTGGAAATAGATGAGTTAAAACTTATACCTCATATTTATCCTACAAATCTTACGTAAAGATTATTGTAACTTTTAATAAAATTATCTTTTGTCATTTGGAAATTACAGTAACTTATCTCGGTCGGGCCGATATCGGCCTGACGCGTTACTTAAGCTGGTGCGGACGAAAAAAACTATGTCTTCTATGCGAAACGATTATCTCAGGCGTGTACATTGCATAAAATTTATGCATTATGTTTCCGCAAAGTTATAGCAATTTAATCTATCCTAGTGATGGTGGGTCTAAAAAGACCTGACACGAACTGGCGGATATATCATTGGGGGCGCATTTAAGCCCGCCACCGCACCAAATGAAGAATTATGATTTTACTTGCCGCAGTAAACGTGTTAATTAATTGACGTCTATAAAATCAAGCGCCGGCCGTCAGAGTTAAAATAATGTTTAACTAAACAATATCTAACTATTTATTTGGGGTAATTCATTGTCGTAAGAAACTTTGCTTGTTACTTGGTAAAGTAACTCTTAAATAGCAAAGTATTGAAGTAACGTCTATATCTGATAGATTTTTGAGAAAAACGAGAAATTTAGAAGGAGAATAAACCAAACTAATACGAGTTGTTGAACTTAATGGCATGTATCACTTACGTAAGACTTTTGCAAAAAATGTTGTTCAGTTTTGCAACAATTGGGGACAAGAAACCCAGTTAACAGGTAATGAGATATCGAACGGTATTACGATCAATCGTGACGGACAATATTCGACATGAACAAATTAATTAAACGTATAGATTGAGATGAATTTAAATTTGTTCCCAGCAATTATGTTGTAAAGGACCGTACAACCAGTACGTACCGGTTTTGAATTGATTGTTGTCGTTTTATTATATAGTTTTCTTAATTGATATACGAAATAGATTAGAAATAAAATGTGTGATTTATGGCACCGTTTATTCGTATGAAAAGGAACTCTATTAAGACCACAACACACCTTCGGTTTTAATTGAACAGTCGTAATCAGTTAAAATAGAAGGTGTGTTTAGGGCTTTACATCAGTTTTGATAAGTTTGGATTTAAAGAAATTGAAAAAACGTATTCTAAAATATATAACATTTAAAAAATGGGTAAGACATATTCAAGCTGAAAAAGTAAATCAACTCAAGGAAAACGATTACGAATACCAGACTTATACCTGGCTACAAAGAATAAATGGATACGGTAATAAAAATAATTGATATCAAAATAACGGTACAGGATAATTGTAAAATGTTTTCCTGATAAACAGAACTTTAATAAAAGAAAAAGAATAAAAATAAATATGTATTAACACTTTTATATTTTTACACTCTATTTTATTTTGCTAATATAACCTTGATATAATTTTTAATTTGCATAGTGTCGTAAGTATGCACAGACTAAAAAACGAATTAATTTCCTCTACTACTCTTCATTATGGCCAGTAATAACACATTAATCATTTTCATTATAATAACCGCTTATGCCACCAATACACCTTCACTTACAACTTTATAGTTAAAACCTGTGTAAAACTGAGAATTGTTCAATACTTCAAGCAGTTTTTGACGGTAATTTCACTGAATTTCTTATCGTCATATAGATGAATTCGCAATAGGTCAATTTAACGTTTTTTTTAAAGGTTCTTTACGCTGCACAAATCTCATACTCATATTTTGCCACATTATCTAAACTATTATAATAAAGCGTAAACACATACTTCTTTGTTGCCTAAAATGTCAATAATTACAGCATATTTTTTAAAAATTCCTTTTTTATTAAAATAGCCCTACACTTGCGTCACGCTTTAGGCTATATCTTTTAACGCTATTAAACTTAAGAGGTAAATGTTTTGGATAAAAACCCTAATGTGGGAAAGAGACCATAAGTTGCTTCCAACATCAAGGAAGCAAGGACATCATGTCATGTTATTTTGTCATTTGCAATTGATAATTTGACAGATGTAAACAATAAAATGAAATTTTCATAATTTCATGCGGATGAAGTCGCACAGGAACAGCTAGTGGTATAAATCTAATATGTTGATTACTATACAAAATACAACGGAATTCTAACCTTACTTTATCTAACAGTTAACATTTTAATACAGGAGTAAGTTTTACTGTACAGATCGACTGTTCAGTTAAAACCGAAGGTGTGCAGCGGACTTTATTATTACTTAAAAGACCGTCTTGCGTGTCTTTAGCCTTTCGTATTAAAGATATGGATCTAAAAACATTAATAAACCATTAACGTTTCGATCGATATTTAAAGTTTTTATTGCAAATTCGCTCGCATTTGTATACTCTGATATTTCTTGGTCACAATTCATAACCTTCGGTTTTTATAGATATTGCAACCGTTAAGGTCTGTTTATTTAGTTTTATTTAACATTCATCTATACTAATATTATAAATAATAAAGATTTATATTTTTGTATGTATTCAGGTAAAAATTTACACGGAAAAGTGCCTGTTTTTCGGATTTCCTGGAGTAGCCTGGCCTTAAGTAACATTGGCTGTTTTTTTTTATTTCATGTGGGTAAAGCAACAGTTAGTGTTTTATAAATCTATTATATTAGTTAATCTATTATTATTGTTCTTGTTTTAATTTTTGAGTTAAAATGTCCTCGTTTATTCGACCTTTAAAATGATCAATACTTCTAACATTATAAATGCGAGTTTAGTTTTTAGTTAGTTAAGTTAAGAAAATCTAGATAAATAGGTGTTGTTAGAGTTTGTAACTTAAATGACTGGACAGCTCTAGATGAAATTTGCCATAGATGTAGATAATAGACGAAATCGCAGGCTATACTAATATAATAAAACGTAAACACACACTACTTTGTGACGTAGGATGTTAGCAATCACAGCATGTTTTTGAATAATTCCTCCTTTAGTAAAAAGCCCTAGACTTACGACAGGCTTTAGGCCATATATTTTCACACTATTTAAGTTAGGGGATAAATGAATTGGAAAAAAACTTCATGTACAAAAACGACCATAAACCAAAGCTGCCAACATTAGGGAAGCAAGGTTATTATGGGTAACGGCAATTGTGATTTTTGCAATTGAGAATTTGACAAATGTAAAGAATAAAATAAAAAATTACAATTTAGAAAGAGATGGATGGATTGCGTGAAAGATGACATGATCAAGAAGGGAGTGATGACTGAGATGACGGATGATAGAGTGCTTTGGAGGACGAAAACCAGGTGCGCCGACCCTACGGGAGTAGGATAAGGCAGGGGAGATGATGATAAATTTCATGCGGACGAAGCCGTCCGGGAACAGCTAGTAAATGATAAAAATCACAAGTACCTCGCTAATCTGTCTATTTATTAAGTTTTTACAATTTTTTGTTACCCTATTCCATATCAAGTGAAGTATTACAGAGCAATGTACCAACAGTATCGTCAGGTGCTTAGTTGTATTGCGTCAAATCAGCGAATGTGGTCGAACGCTGGACCGTTTGCGAAACGGTGCGGCTAAAGTTGTTTTAAGTTGTATGGTACAAGTTATACGCGGAGCGATTTAGTTTTTTAAAGTTTAAAATGTTCATTGAAAACTTACTTGTAAATATATGAGGCGAGTTTTTTTAAATATGCCAAAATGGTCTTTAAAAGATTACTTAAAAACTTGGATGAAAAGAATATATTTAATCAAGCAAAATAAAACCTTACAGCAATAAAAGACTGCATTACTGTGCGTTAAATTTAAGTTCTATTTTAAAAAAGTTAGTATTAGTTAAA